ATATATATATATATATATATATATATATATATATATATATATATATATATATATATATATAGGCTTTTTTGTCTGAATCTGTCAAAGGTTAATGGACTAGATATTTTTAGAAAAGAAACTTACTAAAGAGGTGTAAGTGTATAAATTTGAAAGACATTATAAGATAGTTCTGTTAGTAATATAAGTTAGGATAGAAAGTGAATCAGGTACATTTTAGACTTACCAAATAGGATGGATAGATAATGGAATTATTTTCTCTGAGTTTGTCAAATGCAAATGGACTAGACATTGTTTAAGTATTTATTGCTTATATATATTGTATATAGTTATTGTACTTATTGTATATAGTTTTTCTTGTATTGACTATAAGCTTTTTTAATTTTAGACAAAAAAAGGGGAAATGTGGAGATATTGTGTTTCCTAATATGGTGCGCCCTAATAAACTTATCTGGGGATCAGAGAAAAGAACAGCCACAACATAGAGGTTAGACAATGGTAGCACACATGTCTTTAATCCTAGCATTCCAGAGGCAGAGATCCATCTGGATCTCTGTGAGTTCAAAGCCACACTGGAAACAGTCAGGCATGGTGACTCATGTCTTTAATCCCAGTAAGTGATGTAGAAAGCAGAAAGCTATATAAGGCATGAAGATCAGGAACTAGAGCTGGTTAAGCTTTGAGGCTTTTGAGCAGCAGTTCAGCTGAGACCCATTCACATGAGGATACAGAGGCTTCCAGTTTGAGGAAACAGGATCAGCTGAAGAATTGGCAAGGTGAGGTGGCTGTGGCTTATTCTGCCTCTCTCATCTTTCAGTGTTCACCCCAATACCTGGCTCTAGGTTTGTTTTTATTAATAAGAACTTTTAAGATTCATGCTACAATACATACAAATAACATTATTCAGAGTGAGCAAGTTCTATTAGGAGTGTGTGTGTGTGTGTGTGTGTGTGTGTGTGTGTGTGTGTACTTATAATAACAATTAATGAAAAAAGAATCCATTAATAATTTAAAAGCCAGAAAGGAGGGTTATATTGATGGATTTGTTGGGAAGAAATGTAAGGGGAAAATAGTGTAATTATATTATAACCTCAAAAATAAAAATAATAAGAATTTTAAAAAGGAAGGAAAGCTTTGGCATTTTACTCACTTGGCCTTCTTTCTGGAGAGTTTATCTACCCCATTGCTACCACTGCTGAGTTCTTCACTGACATCAGAATCAGCTTTCTCATACTTCTGATGTGTACTGAAGACTACCAGCTCTTCTGGAATGCTTCAGACCTTTGGTGCTCTATTAGGGGTGCTGACACACCAGCTTGTGGACAAAATAGCTGTTGGCTTCTCTGGTGGGAGACAACCACTGATGCTCATCTTCAGAATGTTGTAAACCAACCTTATAAGTCCCTTTAAAATACATATTCATGAACACCCCTCGCCTCATCTCTATAGCTCTGTCCACAACTTTGGCAGAGGCCCAGTGCTCTATTGGAGGCCACTCTGGTACCCAGAACTCCATGTAAGACCCTGCCCACAGACATCAAATGCTTTCTCATAGCTTGCCTAGCTTCCTCAACAGCACCCATTCCCTAGTCTCCATATCCTAGGCCACAATTCAGGAGAAGCCCATTGCCCTATCAGAGGCTACTATAGTACCTGGAACCCCAGAGGCCATGCTGCCACCTGGAACCCCAGAGGCTACATGGGTATCTAGAACCCCAGAGACCCAAAAACTCTTGAGGCAACACTGGCACCCAAACCCCCAGAGATCATACAGGCCACCAAAATCTCAGCAGAGACACTCTACTGAACCAGAGTACTTGCCAGTCACCAGAACCAAAGGCCACTCAAGCCAAAAGACCAGAAAGAAAAGATAAACAAAGGGTAAAAACATCCATTCAACAAAGATATACTCAGAAATTGGCAACTAAACCTATAATTACCCCAAATCCAGATGCCTAGAGCACAGTGTAAGAACACAGTCAACAACATCTAAGGCAATATGGCACCACCAGAGCCTAGCTATCCTATTACAGCAAGCCCTGGATATTCTAACATAGCTGAACCTCAAGAAAATTATCTTAAAACCAATTTGATGAAGATGATAGAGACACTTAAAGAGGAAATGATTAAATCCCTTAAAGAAATCCAGGACAACACAAACAACTGGAGGAGATGAATAAATCCCTCAAAGAAAGCCAAGAAAAAACAAACACGTGAAGGAAATGAAAACTGTTCAAGACCTGTAAATGGAAATAGAAGTAATAAAGAAACCTCAAACTGAGGGAATCCTGGAGATGGAAAATCGAGGTAACTGAACAGGAAACTACAGACATAAGCAACACCAATGGGATAAAGGGATGGAAGAGAGAATTTCAGGCATAGAAGATAAAATAGGAGAAATTGATACATTGGTTAAAGAAAATGTTAAATCTAAAAATTCCTGATACAAAACATCCAGAAAATCTGGGACCCTATGAAAAACTAATCCCAGGAATAACAGAAATAGAAGAAGTAGAAGACTACCATATCAAAGGTCCAGAAAATATTTCCAACAAGATCATAGAAGAAAAGTTTTCTAACCTAAAGAAGGAGATGCCTATAAACGTATAAGAATCATACAGAACACCAAATAGATAAGACAAG